CATTTCTGTTAATGACGCGCGAGAAAGCAACATATGATTGGTCATGACTAAAAACTAGTTTTGTTCATAAGAAACCACAATAAGGAATTGCCTCCGTTGAAACTTAAAAGGATTTTTGCATCACTCGTCATCCGAGGTATCAACACCTAGTTACTTGCATGGTCACCAGTAAGTATTCTACATTCAAGGACATAATTGGAGAGTTTGGTTACAACCAAATGTGTCCCGTTGCACAATCTCATAGAATTGTCTATATTCTGCAACAACATCACCGAAATTCCTACCTTCAAATGCAACTCATGATTTGGCGTCCCAGAACATTTGAGAGAGTTTAAGAACCCACCATTGTGGAGTTCAGACAAAAAGTCTGAATTCAAAACATATTTACACGTACTATCGGAGCTTAAATGGATATGACCTTCTGTGAGATTCAAAGAAGACATGTACTAATTGATAAACAAAATGATCTCCAACGTCGGTGCAAGTATAGCTCTGTCCTTAAGATAACTTGGATCATCTGTTGCATTTTTGAACATTGGATACGTTCTTTCAATAATTGCAACAATGGGATCGTCCTACAGTGGTAGTAATAAATCTTCTAGTATATCAATGGAGACACAACCATCATCCGAACCTCCTATAGTACCATCTTCGTTGCTAGTGATCAGGAAATGTAAACAACTCGTCATGTTCATTTGAATCATCACGACTCTGAAGACGTATGTTTTTTTATTAGCCTAACCTAAGCACAATACAATCTTGCCAAATGGTTGAAGCATTAACGATCTCTTGATTGTTCCCCTTTTTAATAACTGGCGAAATTTGTCGAAAATTTCCACCAAACACAACAGTCTTGCCCCCCAAATGGTCTAGAATTGTTATCTGAGTTGACCGCTCCCATGATTGCTTCAAATGATGCTTGAACAACTTCAAAATAATGCTTATGAGTCATTGGAGCCTCGTCCCATATGATGAGGGAAGACCGCATAATAAGCTCTGCAAGAGGGCTAGCCTGATTGATCTCGCA